CCTTGGCATTGTTAGAACTCCCTTACACCCTCAGTGAGTTAGCAGTACTTAGTGTAGTAACAGTGTAGCACCCACAGTGCATTCCAGCGTACACATCAACAGTTCATATCAATCAACTGTTACATCTGCCTTATGCTTTTCTCTTTTGTGTGTCTTTTGTATTATAGCACAGCAACTTCCCGATTTCTCACTGTGGTACTTACTGCAACCTACCTCTTGAAATTTGACAAAAGGAGTTAGGACAGAGATTATGTTTTCTTGTTCCACATGAAAAGACTCTGCCTCCAGAAGTAAGTAAAAATCTGGCAGTCGTTAGCATTTTAAAACTTGCTACTCATAATTCATCAGCTCTCATAATACTCAGTAGAGGGCAGTGCTTACACAATACATATGCATTCTAACGAAGTGTTATTTACTTAGCAGCACTTTTGAAGCATCAACTAATTAATTGCCATAACACTGGTAAAGTAGATTATAGTATTAGTTTTTGGAAGATGAAGACTGAGGAGGGCGAAGTGACTTGTCCAAGGCCACAGTTGTCTGTGGCAGAGAGAGGACAGGATCTGACCAAAATCCATTTCTGGAAGCAGTTGATTGAAATGGGAACTTAATACTTACAGTTTCTAAGAAGACAAAGTCCTAAGTGTTTCAAGTCCTGCAGTTCTTGCCCAAAGCTATTCTCTGAAACTACCCCTTATTCTTGGTTTCTCAAGCACATTGGGCAAAATGCTACTATCGCATCAGTGTATCTGTAGTGACTTCAGTCATATTTCTTCAGTGTAGTCAGCTTCCAACTGACTGTGTGCATGCATCCCTTATCATTTCAAGTTACCACAGAAACCTCACAGGCCACAATTAGCTGGGGACAGGACCCAATGCACCTTGCATAGTCATTTTCATGGGTTGCCTAAGAGCTTTCCCACAATGTATCTTTTCTTCAGAAACTGACAGCTCGTCCACCATGTATGCCTTTTTAGTGATTTTCCAATCTGAGTCATTCGGGGGGTTGAGGGTGGGGGATGCTGAAATATCCTACTTTGACATTTTCCAAATGAGATTTTATTGCCGGCTTGAAATGCTTTCTTGTTTCTCAAAAATATTACCCCCTACTAAAAAGAGGGGTTGAAAAAGTCAAAAGCAGAATAAAACAGTTTGAAATTGTAGAAACAAAATGTTCCAGTTCAACGTGATTAAAAATATTTCTGGGGAATTACCGTTTTGATGGTTTTATCCTTTTAGAAATCCCAAATCCATTTGTAAATACCCATTCCCTATCCTGCTTTGATAGCTGAGGGAGAAGAGTATGAAATGCAACCCCAGTGCTCTGTTCAAAAATCCTGTCGGTCCCATTCTTCGCTTGCATGAAGCACCTTGTTTTGACTTCACAAGTTCTCTCAGGTATATTCTTCCCCAACACTAGAGACTTTATGCATTGAGTTTCCTGACATAGGATCACATCTGAGGCATTTTTACCACAGGTTATTCTGCTTTGCAAATAGGATCATGGAGTAAAAGAAGGACCACAAGCGTGTGAACTGTCAGTCTTCCTGGAAGGGAGTTTGAAGTGGAAGCCAGCTGCAAGTCTTATGTACTGTGAATGAGGCCTATTTTATAATTGCAGTAACCAGAAGAGCTAGTTAATGACTTAATCTGGTGATCTAGTTCTATGGGATTTATCCAACAGTGTTTCTAAGAAAGAGTAAGATGTTAGGAGCTCTTTGCTCATAAATGCAAGATTGCTTTCACTAGACACAGTTTCTGCACAAAAAAATTTGGATACCTCAGTCTCTCAAGCTGAAGTGCTAGATCCGAGGTTTTCAAGAATTAGAAATTATTTGGGGGAATCTTGATTTTACTCCCATAGAAACAGCTGACATGGAATTTACATGGTAAACCTGGGCATCCAGTGCCCTGGAGACACCCCAGAGCATCACTTCCAGCTGCTGCTTCAGAACAGTATGGGTCTCCTGTGGGTCCTGTGCTATAGGGGGTTATCTCAGATACCTGAAGGCATCTCAGATAGCTCTAAATACCAGTATGAGTGGCCCACACTGTTTTTCCTGAACACTACCAGGAAATAAAAGTCTTCAAAGACATCCCGAGATGGACAATATGAAACAGAGGCACACCGAAGCAGAGGCACTCCAAATCACTACATTCCACTTGAAAACTCTTAGAGCTTGCACAGATTCAACTGTCAATGCTGTATGTTGCTTATTTTGGGGACTAAGAGCTGCTAGCATGATAACAAGGAAGCATATGATCGAGAGAGATGTCATGGTTACAGAAAGAAACCTTGATGACGACAGCATAACCACAGTTTTGTATGTTGCCCAGTGGCAGCCTGGCACTTAGTTGTTTTCTTTGGCAGCAGCAATCTGGTTTAGCAGCTCATTAGAGAAAACACACAAGATCTAGACAGCATGATCCAAAAACAAAAAACCAAAGGGGTATTTTTTTAACCTCAGTTTCTTCTGCTTTATCACATACATAACCGCAGCACTTTTTTGCATCTTCTTTGCAGGTTCCCAGGAGAGCAGCTGCTTTACTGTAGTGTAAGCGTTCTTACTATCCTTTTAGCTTCTCCCTGCCCATCTCTCTTCTCTTTCAGAGCTACATCCTTCCCACATGTTATGAATATACCAACTTCTGTCAGTCCTTTCTAACAGGCAGTCTAGAACAAATCATCTTCGTCATCTCTCAGACTTGGTTTTTGGATAACATTTGGCTGTTTATGATGCTTTTCTCTTCTGATTTTGCAAGTTTTAAAGGTCAGAAGATGTTGTCAATCAGATGCCTCACAGTGCATAATGTATTTGAATATCTCCACAGTTATACAGTTATTATGTGAGTTAACTCCAAATAGGCTTATAGAATATTGCAAGTTAATATGCGGCTTCTTGTGATCTCCTTCTCTTCTCTGTAACACTCATGCAATTTCAAGGAAGTCAACAGAATTTCTTTATTATATGTGAGAGATGTGTCTTGGTATGTAGCACATCACCAGGGTAATAAAACTGTTCATAGTCTGACTGATTCCTTCAAAGTGATATCACATTTTCAGTTTTGGCTGAATGCGTGTGCTTATACTCAAACCTGCCCAATGTCCATTGTGTCCCTCAGTGGGATCCCTGCATAGGCAGATGAAATTTTCTACGCATATGCACATGGCCTGACAACTGTCTACTTTGACATAAAAAAGCAAATTTGTCTGCAAGCCATTTTGTCCAATTCTCAAAAATATGTTCCACTGCTCTATTATATGTTCAGGCCTACTTGTTACCCCTGCATGGCTGCTGTCAAGACAGAGAGATTTGTTACTTGCTCAGCCAACTACCTGGCGATTCCCCATAGGTAACAGCTTCCCAAGTGCTACAAAACTGGTGTACTGATGCCACAAAGCCATCTTCTCTGGAGGCTCACGCACTGGAGCATAGCCCAGGGAATAAAGCAGCATATGAATGTATGGGTTAGTGCAAGGCTATTCTAAAGTAAGACAAAGGACTAGATGGTCTTTCTGCTAACTATGGGTACAAAGACTACAACATATACCACCAATGCTTCCGTGGAAAGTATTGTTCACCCTCAGTCCTTTGTTATTACTGTGGTAGGTAGATACAGCATTTTGTCATTACCTCTGCTATTCTGACGAGGGAATCTCAGAGCCAAGTTTCCTAGTACGCAAGTCAAAGTATTTTCTGATAAGCCACATCTCACACATATGTCCAGTTGCGCAACCTGTGCTGAACTTCATTGCAGAGAAGTAGCTGATCAGCTGTACTGAAACTAATAGCTCTATGCACTTTACAGGAACTGTTTATTTTTACTCAGGGGTACAGGGGAACCAAAAAATACCTCAGAGATTATTTTTCAGGAGGCACTGTTACTATTCATGTGGTCTGAAGTCCCGCAAAGGACTAATGCAGGCAAGGTTTACAATCCCAAGTATTTAGTTGATTCAGTGGACGAAACAGCTTGTCATGAGCTCTTACCTCCATGTGTATGGGCAGTCTGGATATATCTATAATTCAACAGTGTCCTATTTTGTGCTGTCAATATAGGACAGTGCTGATGATACTCTCTGAATAACTTTGTGCTGAAAAAAAGCTGTCATATTGGTGTTTTAGCTTGTTTTATTTTTAATCTTCATGGATTATGTCTCTGAATTCATGTTAGTACCTTCTCTTTTTTTTCTATTATTTTGTCCATCTCTGCTTCATCTTGCAGCAATTACTGTCAAAATTTTCTGATAGGTAGAATTCTTTTCTCCGTCTCCTTAAGGAACTGTCTTTGAATTTCACATTAACACTTATCAGAATTAACAAAAGGCTTTAGTTTTCCAAGATGTGGCACATACTGTCTCAGTCCACTGGTGTACTCGAGTTAGAATTTCAGTTGATGTGTCCAAGCAGTGTTAATAATATTGCATATACATGTAAATATGTTCTTAATAAATTCTAGGGGAAATTTAGACGACTTCAGAATCATTTAGGAAACCATTTGTGGTTTAGGCCATGAGAAACACACCTGTTGGCCAAAAGCCTGCTACCTAAATTCCATGTTTGAAGCTGAATCTGTATCACATTTTTAAAGAATATTTCCTTACTTTTTGTGCTCTTTGCAAACCCCATGACCCCATTTTTTCTTTGAGATTAAATTTAGCTTGTAATCATTAGTATAATGCAAATATTCAACCTAAACAACTGAGGAAAAAAAAAAGGAAGTGTCACTAAAGAACTCACTTTTGCCATGTCTAACCAAAGATTTTGGGTCAGATCATCAGCTAGATCATCATGAAGTTGTTTCACTGATCTTAAAGAAGCTATGCCAGTTCATACATTCTAAGGACTACTTATTATATTATGAAGAGTTTTATACCCCATCCATCTTCAATAAACACCAGGTATTTTAGAACTGATCTGTAAGTTGTATTTCAAGCCTATAGTCATTTAATCTACTCTTTCTTCATCCTCCACCCCCCCTTTAACTTTTTCCTTTAGCACTCCAAATATCCCTGGATACACTGGCAAGGTTCATTGGTCAGCAACCCAGCCGGCAAATTCTAATCTTCCATCAACAACCCCATCAATAATTGCACGAATGCATGGGTAGGTATGAGGTATATTTTTCAGCTTGTTCAGAAAGATTACAGGGAAAATACTAATTGCATTTATTTGGTTTAAGAACAATTAAATGTTAATAATGACATTCCATTGGCTTAAAAAATACAGAACAGTTGGGGTTGGATCCTACCACTTTATTGTCATGCTAATCTGAAATCCTTTTGAGATTTTAAAATTTTTCTGGAACATCGTAAGGCATGTATTGGGAAGGTGCCTTAACACTGAGGTAAATCATGATTTCTAAATGTGGATTATTTCCACACTGAGAAATTTTTTCTTTAGCTATGGTCGCTAAGGTCTTAAGTGAATTTTTTTTTTTTATGATTGATCTGTGTGTGTGTTTTGAAAGAGGCCCATGAATGTCAAAGTTAAAAATTCTCAGAAGAAAAATATGTGGTGTTATGTTTCCAAAGTGGTGCTGGCAGACTTATGAAATAGGTATTTGCTATACAAAAATAGTTGTTAAAAATGGGTGGGGTTACTCAGAAGGCAGTGAGAGGCAAAATCATGCCATGCCCCACACCAATGCAGCCCAGGACCCTGTGACTGTGAAATTATCGCAGCTCCACATCACTACTGTGGCTACCTCATGAAGTGAGTTGATAATCTTTATTCTCTCTTGCTCTTCCATTCAAGGCTTGTTAAAACTATGGGCCAGTATAAGTATTTAGGTGTCTAACTTGTTGGTTTCAAAAGAGCCAGACACAACTCAGAACAGCTGAAAAACTGTTTTTCTTTTGTTAGCACAAAGAGCTTCTGACGTTGGCAAAGGACCAACCTAGCCTTTCTCCCAGTAGCTTCAGAATAGCTTAATAACTGTTTGTTTCCCCTGTCTCCTTTATGATTTCCTGCTTTAGGTTCTGATTTTTTTGTTATCCATAATGATCTAGGACATGGTAACCCTATCCCAAGTGTCCGTCTTTTCCTGAGAGATTTGTCTTCCATTAAGCTGTTCAGTTGGCCTTAGAATTTTGTTCTCAACACATGACACCTTTTTCAGCACTGCCAGTACAACGTATCCAGAAAGGGCTTGAGGAGCTTTAGGGACCTGCCTGGCTTTTAAAGAATTCACCTTGTCAAGTGTTTCATCCTCGTGCAAAATGCATTGACTTCCATTTCTACTGCCCTCCATCCGTTCAGCTCTGCTCTTCTCCTCTTGTGGTTATACTTAGAAAATAGGCAGTCACCTGTAGTCACAGCTTGCTGTTGACAGGGAATGAAAATACGCAACTGAGTCCCGAGTCTCGATGGGCTAATAAAGCTGAACTTGGAGCAGCCTGATGCAAGACTAACTTGCTTGTAAATGTCACAGGAAAATGCATGTTAGCAAAGATCATTGAGAGACATCAGACAGATACCCGATCTCAAGAGCAAAAAGACAGGCGCCACTGTGATCTAAGAAAGGAAAACACATCTGCTACTTCCTTTTACTTTCTACAGGTGTTACTTTAGTGGATCATAGTGGATGAGTTTTCTCAGTTTTTAGTGGATGGCAAGAACGGGGTTCTCATTCTGTGCTAGTGGAGACTTTCCAGAACCAGGATGGGATCCCCTGACTTTTTTGAAGACGGGTGTCTAGGAAGCAGACAGCAGGCATAATGGCACCCGGATGCTGTAGGCCAGGTTTTACTGCCCTTTTTCTGAGCTGAGTGGTATACTCCCCTGAGGGTAGAACCACTGGTTGCAAAACTGTAATGGTCCTAGTTTACTTTCTCTGGGGCTACTTGTGGAGTAAGATAGTGTTCACTGACTCAAGACAGAGGATCGTAGCCCTCTATGAAACTGCTATGTAAAACTACTAGGGATGCTGGGAATGTCCCCCGAACGTTAGTTAGTGACGCCCGTAAAAGAGAGATGTTCAACACTTGATTCCTTCCCTTTGTAAAATAAATTATAAAAGTCCTGCTGATTTCAGTGGTCACAGGTCAAGCTAGACTGTAGTGGAGGGGTGAAGAGAAAAGAGGTTATTCCTGGAATTTGGGGTCAGACTACCCCAATTCACCTCCACATGCTTTTCATGTACAGCATGATCTCATTCTTACTGTTTTTAAAATGGCGACCCCTTTTTTTCTCACTTTGATCATCCTCAAGCCATGACTGTAATAATTTCTCAGAAAGCAGCAAGTGATTGCATGTGGTGGATGCTTTTATAGCTGCTTTATTTGACATGTCTACAATATACGGTCAGTCTCCTGAAGACAATTATGGGTATCAGAGGGAGTCTTTTGTCTACTGCTAACATGGTCTAATAAATGCTCCTGTCAAAAGTATCAGCAACATCAGATAGACCGGGCAGCATGCAACCACTTCTGCATTGTATTTCTATCACACAGAGCTTCCACAGTATGTGGGGCAAACCCCTTTATAACTGTTTTAAGCATTCTGGACTCAACAGGACTGTAAAGGATATAGAACAGAAGAAATATGGTTTCTTCATCTTTGAATATGAATGGTATTTTTATATGTCAAGATTTATTGATGTATTTTTATTGTATTGTTGTTTCCAGGTAATCTCAAGGTGAAGTCAGAAAATTAGGTTTCAAAGTCCTTTAGTGCAATTAAATTCTGGCAGCATTGATTAGTTTTTGCATAGGAAGAAATGTTTTATGTGTTGGTTTCTGTTTTGTTTTGTGTTTAAATGAACTGTCCATAGCTACCCAGAAAACACAAATCCATTTTGCACCATGAGTTGTGTGGAAATGTGTTTGCCTTGCCAGCTTGTATAAAGTAGTGCTGGATTTAATTTAACTTTGGAGAGGTGGATTGCACCTTTTCAGCAAGTTACTTTGGAGATTTCAAAGGGGTCTTTAGGTCAGAAGCAAGTATTTTTTTGTTCGGAGAGTGAGTGAACATAAGACTCTGTGGTCATTTCTGTGTCAGCCCTGGTTTTGATAGGTGTTTTGCAGCAGAGGGGCTATACCAACTTAGCTTGTAGATATAAGATTATTTATAGTGCCTCTTCCTGTAGAAGATGAGAAGAATTTTAGAAGTCTAGTATAAATTGTCCCCAGCATCTTTTCTAATCCCCATCCCAGTATTCTGTACCACGAGGACTGGGCGTCTGAAGCAGGCATGTCATGGTACCAGAAAAGTGTTCCTTCTAGGCTTGAAAGCCAAACCTCCAGCATCGCCAGAGTTAGCCCTCCAGGGAGCACAGGGCCTTACATGCTTGAATGCATTCAGCATCCTCATAGCAGTTCTCCACAGTGCGCAGGTAAGTTGTGAAGCAACTGTGTGTGTCCAAGGACGGCTGAAAAAAGGCAAGAGGCAGAACATACCTTTCTCACAGCTGCTGCAGGGATCTGTCTTCCAGCATGTTACATATATCCTGAAAGTAAGATTTAAAATTTTGAGGAAGATTTGCCACCATTCTGTTTAAGGGGGCTGATTTTAATACTATGGCATATTGCAAATTATTAATATTTTCTGAGGCCAGTGGGCATAACGGTTTATGAAGAATGCAGTGAGAGGGAAGAGGGAATGTTTAGCAATATGCGAACACGTTTTAAAAGTCTTTTTTTCTCTGTCTTCTTGTGACTGCAGATGCATAGCAAAAGAAGGAATTCTCGTCTCAGTATAATCACCAGGGACCTTCTTCTCAGATGGTGATTCCAGTTAGTCCTCAGAATTCTTTCAACAAGAGAAAACGAGAAACTATTACAGTTTAGAAAGTGTCAATCCTTTTTACCTGCATAACTGAGAGCCTCAGTGTCTTGACAGTGAGGAGGAAGGAAATGTGTGAAGATGTGTGGATACTTTAAATACGGAACAAAAATAAAATAACATAGAAGTGGGTGTTTGTGGTAGTCCTTATTACATTATTCTCATATTTATGACTTACTAGTGCTGACAGTTAAAACCATATTAAAAACAAGAGGAGTCGTAAGTCAAAGGCTTGAAGCTTGCTCTCTGTACTGGATTGCCTTGTTAACTAAGGTAGAAAATTATGCTGTAGCTGTTCCATCCATTGACATAAACATTTTATGTATATATATATATACACATACACATGCAGACACACATATGTAAATGCATTATTAACTAAGAAATCATTACAGAGCAGCAGCCCTTCTCACCAGCTGTCCTAAGCATGCCTTGCAAAGATGGTTAAATGTCACAGGGTGAGATTTTAATCTCTGCCTGTGCTGTCTCTGTGTGTAGTAGTGAATAAAAGGAGCCAGGTTATGGTCTCTGGTCTGGATGCTAATTAAGACTGTATGGCTTGCACCCATGCTTCTTAAATTCTCTTATGCTTAAACTGAAAACAGTTAAATAGGGAAGATGGAGGGTCAGTGCTTAAGCCTTTGGCTCAGCACTGTTTTATTTTCTGGTGTTGGTGTAGACTTCACGAGAAAGTTGCATCCCTGAGAAAGAGAATACCAAATGCAAATTTGGAGTTCAGGGGGTTCTATTGTGCTCAAGGACCAAAATAGTCCAAATAGTTTATTCTAATTTAGACAGCCTGGCAGCTTGCTTAGAAGTTTCTGTCCTGAGGTCTCTGGTGAGTTGTATTACCCAAATCGTCTATATTGGTGCTCTGTTACCTCTCCTGCTTGCTTTTCTCCAGTAGGCTTTTGAGGTACATACATGTGTAACATGTTTACAAGAAATAGCTTTCCCATCCTCAGTTAAGGGCTTTCTGTGAAGGATTATAAAATGTACGAAAGGGCTTTTCCAGAGCAGACTGAAGACTCATTAAAAATACTGAAAGGTCGGGAATATAAACCACAGAGCCAGAAGACAGCAAATTTGCAGAAAGAACTAACATCTCTCAACAAAGGGGTTAGATCCTCAGCAGCAGTAATGGGAACTGAGCATCCAAATCCCTGATGCTTCTGCGCAAATCTCAGTCACTCAGGATGTACAAGCCCCTAGGGAATGTAAGGTGACAGCTAAGCAAGACAAGCATGGATGCTAAGGTACACCATTTCTCCCAATAAGACTGTAGAAGGTTGTTTATTCTAAAGTGGAGCAGAAATATTCCAGTTCTTGAAATGCCTGACCTAACACAGAAACTATATCACTTTTGGCTCACTGTGTTTTCATCATGTGCAAAACACCCACACCTGATTTTTTAAAAGAGATTCTCTCATCTAATCAGTTTCTCTGCACGCATTAAATTAGAACTTACGGGTACATGTTCAAAATTAAAGCCTATGTACAGGTACAGGAAGGAAGCAACCTGCCTTTGCCTTTTGTGCTTGTCCATTTTGGAGCTGCACATGTATACAAGTCAGTGAATATTTTAGATGAAAACACAGTCTCTTTGCAAATTTGGCTTATTATGTCCCATTGAATTATTATGTACCATATAAAAATATTTGCAAATTTGTTGCTGGTTACAAAGGCTATGTTGTTATACGCTTGAGAAGGATTCCAATTAAATCTTTCAGAGCCCCAACTCTGCAGTGCAGAGAGAGCGATCTGACTTTGGGTAAGAATGTAGGAACTGTCTTTGTGCAACGCAATGCAGTGTCACAGGCTATATCTTGAACAGCAACTTAAATTCCATTCAAACTAGCAGATGAAAACTGATTACATTTTAAACCAGCAGTGGGCTGAGAACATTGACTGCAAAGACAGATGCCATCGCTTGAGTAGGTTCAGATTAGATGCTTTATGTATAAAAACATTTTACACATGGCATAATTAAAGTACAATAATCTAAGGAGACGGGAGCTATATTTAAAAAGGGGCAGGTTCTCAGCTGGATAACTCAGCATAGTTTTCTACAGATTTTACAGACTGGTTAAGAGCCAGAATCTCTACATCTAATGAGCAAAAGCTGTGTGTTAGAAATCCTCTAGATAGATCAAAATTGTAAAAAAAATTGTAAGGATGATTTACACTTCCCCATACTGCTAGATGAAGCTGAGGAAATTTATTAAAAAAAAAAACAGTGGAGAGAAAAGGTGGCTTTTAAAGTGTTTCTAGTTACTTTCAGTTTCTCTGAAAACTTGAACAAAGAGCAACAAGCTCTTAGGCCTAAAGAGCAAATGGAAGGGAAATGCTTATATCCAAACTATAAAGTCCCTCATTTCACTTAAAATAAGCTAATCAAACCAACAAAAAGCATGTTTTCAAACTGTTTTTTCCCATTAAAAAGTTTTTATGATTTTAACATATCTATATTTTCATCCTAAAATTATAGGAGAGTATTCCTTGAAACCTCAAGGACAGAAAATTTTCATGTATTGAAACAAAAGAATTTACAAAAGTCGTAATTCAAAATTAGGTACGTGGCACATTCCATACAAGGCCTATTCCTGTTTCTGCTGGCTGCAGTAGCATTGCTTTTGGTAGCAGAAGGGGACTCCTGCCATCATGTCAGTCCTAAAAATAATGCCACCTGATTTAATCTGAACCCTTCTAGATTCTGCCGTGGTTTAACCCCGTCTGGCAACTAAGCACCCCCCAGCCACTTGCTCACTCCCCCCCACTAGCCCTGCTAGGATGGGGAAGAAAATCAGAAGAGTAAAAGTGAGAAAGCTCGTGGGTTGAGATAAAGACAGTTTCATAGGGAAAGCAAAAGCCGTGCATACAAGCAAAGCAAAGCAAGGAATTCATTCCCTGCTTCCCATGGGCAGGCAGGTGCTCAGCCATCCCCAGGAAAGCAGGGCTCCATCACACATAATGGTGACTTGTGAAGACAAATGCCATCACTCCCAACGTCCCCCCTTCCCTTCTTCTTCCCCCAGCTTTATGTGCTGAGCATGATGTCATATGGTCTGGAATAGCCCTGTGGCCAGTTGGGGTCAGCTGTCCTGGCTGTGCCCCCTCCCAGCTTCTTGTGCATCTGGCAGAGCCTGGCAAGCTGAGAAGTCCCTGACTGGTGTAAGCACTGCTCAGTGTGTTACACCCCATCAGTGTGTTACCAACATTCTTCTCATCCTAAATCCAAACCACAGCACTGTGCCAGCTACTAGGAAGAAAATTAACTCTGTCCCAGCCAAAACCAAGACAATTCATGTGATTTGAGGTATGGTGAACTGGCTGTTGCTATTTTAAAATTTTCTAACTCTTCCACGCTACCCTAAAGAGAAACAAAAAAAAAACCCTAGAATATCCTTTCACTCGGTATTGTGGCATATGATATAAAGCATATGAAACAGGGTTGCGATTAAAGAATCTCCAGTTGGAAACCGGTGAAAAAATACTTTAGTTCATGGGACAACTTCTGCTTTCCGTCTGTTAAATGTCTCGCTGAATCATAGATGTTGTTAATCTATACATGGTGTTCATAAAGCAGTCAAACTTCAAGTCACGAAAAATCATTTTTGGATCTGTTCCTTTGAGTTATGGCATCGACACCTAGATGAACAGGAACAGAGCTGACTTCCGGTGTGTAGTGAAACTACTGAAAAACAATGCTGCCGTGAGAGAAATGGTTTCCTGGGTAGAATTTAGTTGGTTTTCCTTCTACGGTCTTCTAAAGGCTTCTGAAAGCATAGTCTTCTAAAGCAGAGCATTTACAGCACGCAAAAAGTCACTATGTTTGCAGCTTGTTTCACAGAATTTCTCTTTATAAGCAGCAGGCTTTGGAAGTTAAGTGATTTGAAGTCATTTGGTATAAAGCAGTTGTTAGCATAGTGACCCTGCTCTTAATACCATCACTTCAATGTACACAGTAAATAAACATGTCTTAAACGAATCTATTTCTTTCTAAATATCTCTAAATAATATCTATATATATTTTTGTATCCATAGCTACTAAACCCCCTCAAATACATTTTTGCATTATGTTCAATGGATTGATCATAAAGAAACATTTTGACATGGAAAAACAGGCTACAATTGAACAATTATCATAACTCTAGCTAAAGTTCATATTTTTTTAGACTAGATTCTTTTCCCTCTTGCTCCTTTCAGAAATACGCATTTTAAAAAATTGGTTTCCTTTGGTTTGTTTGTTATTTTATTCCTAATGCTTCTCATCTGCCATCTAGTAAAGGTCATAGAAATATTAATGTACTTCCAAAGCAAAAGGACCAAAAAGCTTTGCTTTCAACATAGCTTCGAGTATGGGGATGCAAATTGCAAAAAATCAGTGGCCTGTATCTTCTCACAGAATTATTTAGTAATGAATATACCAAGTGAAAGAGAAATGTCTGTTGGGTAAACAATACACATAAACAACTTCATGGTAGGAAAATAATATGATATAAGAGGCTGTGGTGATCCTAGCCTGAAATCTTGAAAATGACTGGAGAAAATAAGGTACTTATAGAGGAGACAGAAACCAAAAGCATGTAATAACTGGAAAGTTTGTTTTGTTTTGCTGTAGATGGAAATATTTTTTATTTAATAAAATGCAATTAAAAATAGAAAAACATCACGATCAAGCTGACAATTTGTGTTGCTTTCAGAAATTATTTGAGAGATAAAGTATGATTTACTTGGAGAAGTCTGGCAGTGCAGAGGAGAAAACAAAGTTTAAGTGGGATATTCCCCTCCACTGGTGGCTAAAAGCTCCTTGCTTTGGGTCTCAGCACCTCTAAGCCACACCGTCTTTTCTCTCCCCCCAGCTATGCAGGACTCATGAGACAAGTCTCATGCTTTAGAACAGGACTCTGTGTTTTCCCCCCGTGTACGGGAATACAAAGCAGCCCTGCAAAGTGTAGATAGAGCCATCGCAGAGGAGATTGCTCCCAAAATACTGACCTATCTT